TCTGTGCTTGCATGCGATACCTAGAACTTGCCCTGTGTGTTTGCAAAGCGAAATAGAAGTTGTTTGGTTTTAGAGATGATTGAGGCATTTCTTTGTGTAAGCCTATATATAATGGTGAATCCACCTGTCTATATTGCCATAGTTAACCCTTTTGAGCCTGAAGCATGTTCTTTGATAACCCTATAATGACCTATATCCCTGTGTTTGAATAGGTGATTGTTTGAACCTATACCTCCGAGAAGCACTTGAATCACTAAGGAACATACAAAAGTCAAAGTGTGGGGTGGTAGGGAGTTAGCGAAAAAAGGGGAATCAGGAATGAATCATTTGAATAGTGCACTGGCATTTAAAAAAAACAAGAAGCCAGTTGCACCTAAAGAAAAGTAGGGGTCACCTGTGAAACAAAAATGTGGAGGAATGATTAGGCTGAGCAGGGAAATTGAGATAAAAGGAAGTGTGTATTAAAAGTGCTTAAGGAGGTTAGTCACTACATCCAAATGTATCCTACCCGACCCTTAGCCTATATTACAACCAAATAAAGACCTCTTGATCTTTGACTAAAACATCTCGATTAGTAGAGTACTACACTATGGGCAAGATTATGGTGTGTCTGTGTGGCATGTGAATGTTCTTTGCTGAGAGTGAGTGAATTCTTTTTATCTTCGGTTCCTTGTATTTGAATTTTATGCGTGTGGAACTTCTCTCAGACTTTTGATGTGAGGGAATGTGACTCAGGAAGGAAAAGTAAGTCTTCACCTCTGTTAGAGTAACTAGAGTGAGTGCAAGTGTGTCATGGCAGTAGAGTCTGCATCTGGGGTATGACCAGCACATTGCTTAGGTTGTTCCGTCAAAATGGCGGGTGTGACATACTTGGGGTAATGCATCAAACGGTTAGGCTTAGAAATGTGGTTTAGCTTGCTCGAGGACGAGCAAAGGTTTAAGTGTGGGGTGTTGATAATAGGTGAATTTAACTAGATTCAGGCCCCAAATAACCGCCTTCTTGCATAGGTTTGATAATAAAAGTGATAACAAAATGCTCTTATTAGTGCTTTTCATGACTTGTAGGTTATATATGACTAGGGAAGGCTAGGGAGTACTTTTGGAGTCAAAAATTGAAGAAAGAGAGGTCATCCGTGAAATATCCCAAGTGAACCACGCAAAAACAGGCTGATGAATCAGAGAAATGATTCTACCACGGTTCCACCGCGACCGCGGCAGAACCGCGGTGAAGATTGCTCGCGGACAGAAGAAGATTCAGAGGAGCTGTTTGGCCGCGGTTCCACCGCGACCGCGGCAGAACCGCGGCAGGTGCGATAAAGTATAGGGACTAAAGTGCAAAACGTGGGATTTTTAGCCCAAAACCCTATTTTAAACATTAGACTTCTCCAAAAGGAGGCATGTACTGATTTTTAGAGTTTCTGAGGAAGGAAAACCATTGTGAGAGATCACCTAAAACATCTTTCTTCTTTTCTTTGATTTTTATTGCTAGTTTATGATGAATCTTATCTTAGTTTGTTTACCCATAGTTATGAGTAGCTAAATCCTTTGTCTAAGGTTTTGATGGAACCTATTGGGGGATGAACTTCTTGTTTATGTGAATACAAATTGCTAGTTTCAATCTTTATTTGTTCAACTATGTTCTTGTTGTAGTTAATTGACAGGATCCTCAATTAGCTGTGCCTATTTAGTATGCATAACTCGGGAGAGAGTGCATATTTAGGTTATCGTTGAACAACACTACTCCCAAAGTATAAGAGGGATCTATAACTGCAACTTTAAAGGTGGGATTAGGGATAACAAAGCCTTGAGTGCAATCTGAAGTGAACTGTGTTAATTAAAGCTAGCTAGTGTATCTCGGGAAAGTGCATTGAGTATATTACTGTGATTACTCGGGAGAAATTTGCGGTAAGATGAGCGTTCATGATTGATAGAGGTGTGTTGGTAAATTTGTATGAAGCATAAACAGAAGGGATTCCATCATTAGGGGAAGTCATTACCTTAGCGTTTTCTCATTATTGTTTACAACCTTAGCATCCTTAATTTGCAGTTGTTACAATTTTAGTTATTAAAGACACCATCAACTGTGATTCAACGTTTGGGAAATTGGTTCTCAAGAGTTTAGTGGGTCTAAAGATAGTGATTGATAGGTTAACTCTCTGTGGATTCGACCCTGGGCATAATACTCGGGTTATATTTGCAATGTCCGCAGAGTCCTTTTTAGAGGGCATAGTTGGGCGTGATCAGGGGCATCTATCAATAATGTGATCTCATTTGGTAGACAACTGGACCAAAACTCTAATGTGATCTCTGGCTATCATTATCTTGGGGGTTACAATCCTATTTACAATCAAGGTTATAACACTAGTAATCATGGATGCTTTTCCAATGAAGAGCATCGTGGTTCAAGTTTTATTGGTGGCAATCCAGGTTTTGCTACACATAACCAGGGTCAAGGAATGATGAACAATGTTATTGTAGGTCATGGTGCAACAAATGTGAATGCAATTCCAGCACCTATGGTCTTCACCCATGAACAGTATAACCAAATCCTGAAGATGCTGAACAAAGATAACAATACTGAAATAGAAGCACATTCTAATCCAGTAGGTATTGTTACTCTCTCTCCTCCTAATGATAGGAATGATAAATGGATTGTAGATAGTGATGCTACAAATCACATGGTGGGAGACAGTAATATTTTGTCTACAGTTACTAAATGTGATAATCAGAAGGTGATATTACCCAATGGCAGTAGAGTCCCCATCACACATAGGAAGTTCTGAATTGTTGCAAGGAAGCATTCATAATGTTTTATTTGTCCCTGAATTCAAGTTTAATTTGTTGTCAGTAGCAAAGTTGGCAAGAGAGCTGAGATGCTTCATGGCATTCTATCCTGACTTTTTGTTTAATGCGGGACCTTCACACTGGAAGGTGAAGGGGATTGGTAGAATGAAAGAAGATCTGTATCACTGGAACTTAAAGAATAAAAGGACATCATTGTTTGTCCCTTCAGTATTCCTAACAATACATGATGAGGAGGAGCTATGGCACAAGAGGCTAGGACATGTCTCTGGAACGATATTAAGACAGCTTTCTTTAGTTAGAAGTAACATGAATAATACTAAGTCTTGTACTGTATGCCTTCTAGCTAAGAAGACACGAATTCCCTTTCCTATAAGTAATAGTAGAGCTGCAGAGCCATTTGACTTGGTACATGCAGATGTCTGGGGTCCTTATAAGGTTCCTACTTTTGATGGTTGTAGGTATTTTCTTACTTTGGTGGATGATTGTAGTACAATGGTATGGGTATTCCTTCTACATATAAAGAGTGATGTTAGTAATGTTCTTAAGAATTCTTGTTGCTTGTACAAACTCAGTTTAATGCATCTATAAAGGTTTTTAGAAGTGATAACAGGACTGAGTTTTTCAATTCCTTCTGCAAAGCATTGTTCAGTAATGCAGGGATCATACACCCGAGCTCTTGTGTTCACACTCCCCAACAAAATGGGGTGATTGAACGAAAGCACAGAGATATCCTTGAAGTGGCCAGAGCACTAGATTTCAAGCAGAATTGCGTTTGAGATTTTGGGGTATTTGTGCTATCAATGATGTGTATCTCATTAATAAGATACCATCTATAGTATTGGGAAACAAATCACCATTTGAAGTTTTCTTTGGCAGAAAACCTAACTTGAATCATTTGAGAGTCATAGGCAGCCTATGCTATACAACAATCACTGGGGCCAATGGAGATAAGTTTGGTCCAAGAGCTGAAGCAACAGTATATATGGGATATTCTAACACACAAAAGGGGTACAAATTATATAGCCTTTCACGCAAGGTGTTATTCATATGTAGATATATTGTTTTTAAGAAGGATGTCTTTCCTTTCAAATCATCTCAAACACCAAATGCCTACAAGATTCCCGCTTGTCCTGCACCCATGCCACCTTCAGAGTCATCATCTACCCAAAATGATTCACCTATAGTACAACCATCTTCTCCAGAACCCAGATTTAGCCCAGAGTCATTTCCTGGTATACATGATACTCTTGAAGCACCCAGTCCAGTACTCTCATCACCTGGACATTTCACACAATCTAGTGATTCTGCAACAGATCATGCATCACCTAATAACGCTCTTGTTGCTCCTCTCCCACAGCCCAGGAGAACTGCTAGAACTTTTAGACCTCTTGGATAGTTAAATGACTTTGTGCATGGTTCACTACCTAGTGATCACACTTCAGCTTCCTGCATCTACCCTATGTCTGACTACATGTCTTACACCTCCCTTTCAGCCTCCTGCCTTGATTCCATTTGCAATTATTCTGTCATCAAAGAACCTGATTCCTATTCAGAGGCTCTACAAGATGAACACTGGGTTACAACCATGAAGTAGAAGATTCAAGCATTGCTTGATAATAACACTTGGTCCTTGATGGACTTACCTGCTGGTAAGAGGGACATAGGATGTAAGTGGGTGTACAATGTGAAATATAATGCTAAGGGAGAGATATAAAGGTATAAGGCTCGTTTGGTGGCTAAAGGATACACACAACAGGAGGGGTTGGACTACCAGGAGACCTTTTCTCTTGTAGTAAAGATGGTCAAAGTTAGAGTTGTTTTATCCATGTCAGCTATGTATGGTTGGCACTTACACCAGATGGATGTCTTTAATGCTTTTTTGCAAGGAGATTTGGTGGAAGATGTATACATGGTGCAGCCTCCAGGTTTTGCTAGACAGATGGAGTTTTCTAAGGTATGTAAATTGCAAACGTCCCTATATGGACTGAAGCAAGCATCCAAACAGTGGAAAGTTGACCTCTGGTTTCTCCCAGAGTCACTATGATTACTCTCTTTTCACTAAGAAAGTTGATGGCCATATTGTGATTATCCTTATGTATGTGGACGATCTTTTGATCACTGGTTCTTCTGCCTCTCTTATTCTAGCCACTAAGGTATTACTTTAGCATCATTTTGAGATCAAGGACCTGGGGGAGATGAAGTATTTCCTTGGTCTTGAAATAGCTAGAAGTAAAGTTGGTATTTTTGTTTGTCAAAGAAAGTTTGCTTTAGACTTAATCTCAGACCTGGGCGTGGCAAGATCTAAGCCTGCAAGTAAACCCTTGGAAGTCAATCAAAGACTCACTAGTGTGGCGTATGACAAAATTCTTGCCACTGATACTACAGAGATAGATGAGGCAATAGAAGATGCCACAAGTTATCAGAAACTGGTAGGCAAGCTCCTATACCTCACTATGACTAGGCCTGACATAGCTTATGCAGTACAAAACTTGAGCCAATTCATGCATTCAACCAAGAAGTCACATATGGAGGCTACTTGTCCTATGACAAGAAAATTAATCAGTGGCTTTGTTGTCAAGATTGGAGACTCTTTACTTTCATGGAAGTCGAAGAAACAGAGAACTATATCAAGAAGTTCAGGAGAAGCTGAGTACAAAAGTATGGGAACAGCAATTGCAGAAGTGTTTGGCTAGTAGGACTATTTGGAGAACTGGATTTGCAAATTCAACTGCCAGTAAAGTTGTTTTTCGATAGTAAAGCAGCCCTTCAGATTGCAGCGAATCCAATTTATCATGAACGGACAAAGCACATAGAAATTGACTGCCATTTCATTAGAGAAAAGATACAAAAGGGATTGATAGAAACAACACATGTGAAATCAGAGTTGCAACTGGCAGCCATTTTAACTAAAGGTCTTGGTCGAGCTTAGCATGAATTTCTGTTATCCAAGCTAGGAGTGCTTAACTTATTCGCACCACATAGCTTGAGGGGGAGTGTTAAGGGATGCTGAGCTATAGATTAGCTAGCAAATTAGTTAGTTATTTAGTGTTAATATAGTAATTAAGGAGTTAGTTATTTTTGTATAAAAGGTGTACAATGTATCGTATATTCAGTTAGTGAAAATAAAAAATCATTTTCCAGAAGCTTCTTTTCTCTTTTTAGTCTTCTCTATTCTTCATCTCTCTTACCATTAACAGAGCTTTCAAGCTCTTAACACAAATCCTAGAATATTAGAACTATTCTCAAATTTGATGGAAAAATATGAAATAATGGATGGAAGAATCTTATAAGAAAGGTAATGTTTGTATTTTTTTCTAGAGAGAGAGTCTTTTTTCTCAAAAAGTGTTCTTATCAAATGTTTGTTACATGCCTTTCCCCTTATCTCTTTTTCTACGTATATGGGACAAGCCCCCAGTCAACCCAAAAAGTACAAGTACGGAGAGAAAGTACCATGAATACTGCAACAAGCACTGTGAGATCTGCAGGCGATTTGGTGAGAGTGGCAACTTCCAAGCTTTCCGAAACAAGCTGAAGCATAAAGATAACGAGTTGCTAAGAGTTATCGACAAGTGCAGCGTCCTCTATGGAGCACTGAGAGAGAAAGAGGAAGAGCTCGAGGTGAGCAAGGGAGTTGAGGCCCAATGTGCGGACCTTCAGGACCAAGTAGTTTCTTTGCGGGCCGAGCTCGAGCAATGTTTGATCAGGGCCGATGCTCTGAGTGGCGATGTAACTGAGAAGATGGCGGATTTGGAGAAGGCTGAGTTGGCTCGGCTGGGGGCGTCGACGAAAGTGGAGGCTTTGGAGGCCGCAATCCACGTCCTTCGATCTAAGCGGGAAAATGATGTGGAGATGGCCAAACTCAGAGAAGAAAAGCTCAAAGAACGAATAGGGGAGCTGGAAAGAGAGGTTTCGAGCCTTGGTGACCAAGTCATCTTTCTCGAGGCCGAGAAGGCGCAATTATTGGATCAGTCATCCTCTTCTCACACTTTTATTTTCCCTGATGTTTTGCAGGATTTATATGAGAAGTGGATTCATGCCGAAGCACAGCTGGATATATTTAAAGATTTGATGATGGCGAGGAAAGTTCTTGAGGCCGACTTCGAGGATGATCGCACTAAGGCACGTGCAGCTCGGATCACTTGTAGCTATCACCCCACTACACCAGAGGCTGGTGATGGCGGGGAAGATGTGGATGGGATTGAACATGACGCCTGGTACAAGGATGAGTATCCTAATGGCGACGGTGATGGTGGAGATGGCACTGTTAGGTTAGGTGGCGAATAGTTATTCTTCTTTCTTTTTGTTTGTAAATTTTGTACACACTTTTGCGGGCGTCTGTTCTAGCCTTTGTAAAGAATATATTTGAAGCATGAAATGCCATTTTTGTTGTTCGTATCTGATTCTTTTCCTTCTTTTCGGGCTTTTATACTTCTTTCTTTTGTTCTACCATTTGGCCGCTTTAGTCGTAGAAGCTTGGTTTATGTGTGTTGAACGAGGTTGAAATAGAATTTAGTTTTGGTCAAGGCCGGGGGCCAATAGGTGTTGATTCGAACGAGGTCGAATGTAACCTGAACTAAACGAGGTCGAACATAACTTAGTTAATTCGAACGAGGTCGAATATAACCTGAACTAAGTTAGTTCAAAACGAAGTCGAACATATCTTAGTTAATTTGAGTGAGGTCGAATGTGGGTTAATTCGAGCGAGGTCGAATGTGAGTTAGTTCGAGCAAGGTTGAATGTCAGTTGATTCGAGCGAGGTCGAATATGAGTTAATTCGAGCGAGGTCGAATGCTAGTTAATTTGAACGAGGTTGAATGACATTTGATTCAAGCGAGGTTGAATGTCAGTTAATTTGAATGAAGTCGAATGTCATTTGATTCGAGTAAGGTCAAATATGAGTTAATTCGAGCGAGGTCGAATGTCACAGTTAATTCGAACGAGGTTGAATGTGAGTTAATTCGAGCGAGGTCAAATGTTAGTTCATTCGAACGAGGTTAAATGTCATTTTATTCGAGCGAGGTCGAATATGAGTTGATTCGAGTGAGGTCGAATGTCACAGTTAATTCAAACGAGGTCGAATGTTAGTTAATTCGAACGAGGTCAAATGTGAGTTAATTCGAGTGAGGTCGAATGTTAGTTAATTCGAACAAGGTCGAATGTTAGTTAATTCGAACAAGGTCGAATGTGAGTTAATTCGAGCAAGGTCGAATGTCACAATTAATTCGAACGAGGTCGAATGTGAGTTAATTTGAGCAAGGTCAAATGTCACTTTTATTTTGTTATGGTCGAGTGCCGATTAGGTATGGAGACAATGTTTACTCTAGAAAATATAGGCGAACTTCTTGCATTTGCATTTTGATCATATACTTGGAGAAATTTACATGTTTTCCGGTCTGGCATTCCAGTCTCAGTCTATCTAGTCCCTTCATTGGGTGACCTGGAGAAGTGTTGAGAGGTTGATCAATAAACTAATTGTCCAGGGCCTTCTTCCGTCCATACTTCAACTTGATGTGTCCTCCTTGTCACCCCGTTAAAAACCTTCTTGAGAAAACCTAATTGGGATAAAACTCAAGTGAGGGAAAAAAGAGTAAGGCTTGGAGAACACTTTCCTTCAAAAGTTGAAGTACTTGAGGTGGGCGACGTTCCAGTTGTTTGGCAGTAGCTTTCCTTCCATTGTTTCTAGTTAGAATGACCCTTTGTTTGCTATTGCCACGATTTTGTATGGGCCATCCCAATTTGTTCCTAGTTTGCCTTCCCGCGGGTCTTTACTTGCTTGTATTTGGCTTTGAGCACATAATCCCCAACTTTGAGTGGTCTGATCTTGGCTTTTTGTTATAATAGCGTTCTACCTATTATTTTTGGGCGATCATCCTTATGTAGACCATATCTATCCGTTCTTCAATTTCGTCGAGCTCTTGCCTTCTGTTTTCATCGTTCCTCAGCCCACTCTCATGGGAATATCTTAAACTGGGCTCTCCGACTTCGACTGGTATTACCGCATCAGTCATATAGACTAAAGAGTAAGAAGTCTCTCTTGTGCTTATCTTTGGCATAGTTCGGTAGGCCCAAAGCACTTCCAGTAATAACTCCGGCTATAATCCCTTGGCGTTCTCGAGCTTTTTCTTCAAGATATTCAGTACTGATTTATTGGAGGATTCCGCTTGCCCGTTGCATGCAGGGTGATACGATGTTGAGAGTATTCTTTTGATATGCCACTTCTCAAAGAATTCGGCGATCTTCTTTCTTGTGAATTGGGGTCCTTATCGCAACGGATCTCTCTGGGGAGGTCGAAACAGCACACGCTTTTGCTTCCACCCACTTAGAAAAATAGTCAATTAAAACCAAAAGAAATCGTACATTACCTCGCCCCGGGGGGGAGGATACCAATGATTTCCATCCCCCATTTGATGAACGGCCAGGGGAAGTGACTGAGTGGAGGTGTTCGCCCACTTGGTGGATCATATGGGCGTATTTTGGGCACTGCTCGCATTTTTTCATGAAGTTTGTGGCCTCTTTTTTCATGGTGGGCCAGTAGTAACCTGTTCGTATGAGACATCTGACTAGAGCTCGATTGGCGGAATGAGCTCTTCAGTGGCCCTCGTGGACTTCTTCGAGGACGCGTCATGTCTGATTTGGGCCTAGGCATTTTGCCAAGGGACCGCCATATGTCCTTTTGTATAGGTCATTATGAATGATATTGTACTTGTTTGCTTGCATCCGATGTTTATTGGCTTTTTTATCATCTGGGAGTACGCATTTTGCAAGTATTTAACAATAAGGTTCCGCCAGTCCCAAGTTAAATTTATGTTCCTTACCTCGATTTGATTTATCGATGAGCGGAGGAGAGAGACCATATTTCCTTCTCCGGTTATGTTTTTGGTAGCTGCTTATAATTTGGAGAGGTTGTCTGCTTCGATGTTTTGTGCTCGAGGAATCTAGTCGAGCCGACATTCGTCAAACTTGGGCAGCAGTTTACATATCTCGGTCTGGTATTTTTGTAACATTTTCTCTTTGATCTGGAAAGTCCATATGACTTGGATGACGACGAGTTGAGAGTCGCATTGTAGTATGACCCGTCTTGCCCCGTACTTCAGTGCTAACCTTAATCGTGCAATCACGGCCTCATACTCGGCCTCATTGTTAGTCATTCCGGGTACCTTATGGAGTGGAGAATCACTTCGCCTGTCGAGAATTCAAGTAAAAGTCCCAGTCCGGACCCTGATGCATTAAAAGCGTCGTCGGTGTACAAAATCTATTGATCTTATATTTGTGGAGAAGCATGGACGGCTTCTCTTTCGACTTCGGGCATTATTTTTGCGCTGAAGTTGTCGACGAAGTCGACAAGTACTTGTGACTTTATCGTCATTCACGGTTAATATGTGATATCATGCTCGCTTAATTTTATGGCCCATTTGGCTAACCTGCCCGATAGCTCGGGCTTATGCAAAATACTTCTTAAGAGAAAAGTTGTGACTATCGAGATGGGGTGGCATTGGAAGTAGGGTCTAAGCTTTCGTGAAGCTACGACAAAGGCCAGGGCCAATTTTTTGAGGTGGGGGTACCTCGTTTCGGCGTCGACTAAAGTTTTGCTAATGTAGTAGATGGGAGATTGCGTACCTTTAGCTTCTCGGACCAGGATCACACTTACAACTACTTCGGATACAGCAAGGTAGTTGAGGAGGCACTCCTCAGG